ATAATTTACCATTTCTGTACGAGTTTTTAACAAAAGATTCATCCAACCAAACTCCAATTCAGAAACAGGCATTTTAAATTAGCAACCTTTTTTTTCCCAATCTGGAATGGATTGTAGTTTTTCATTTTTTGATTCTGTTTGATATTAAATTTCTACAGAACAGTCTGTTTGATTTTTTGGACTCCGCAGCCAGTTAAAACGATAAAATGTTTTTTTTTCCTGAGTAAAACACAAATTGATCCTGCCAATAACGCGAGGAAATTGAAATGTTAGAATTTGGGTTTTGAAGAAAGTTTTTTTATGTTAAATTATTAACAATGTTTTTAAAGAATATTTTTAACTTGCATATTCCTCAAAATGAAATTTTATTTTGTTTTAAGAAATCCAGCCCCCCTTCCTGAGTACTTTTTTGCCAGAGTTTCCCATCTTGGTTTCAACATCTTAAATACAGAAAAGGTTTTTTTTTTAAATTAACTTTGATCCAAACCTATCAGTATCAAAAAACACCACATTGGGGTTTCAGGCTTCTTTCAATTTTTGGTAACTTAATTAATATCTTATTGTTACTTTTAAGAAAGCTTTGAAACCAAGCCAGTGAATATGAGATAAGCAGAATTCCACCCCCCAACCGTAAAACAGGGATTGCAAAGGAAAGCTTGCAAATAAAGCAGGCCGGTGTTTTCTTTGAGGAAAGGCATCTTCTGGCAGCCTATTCCAGAAAGGAATCAAATCAAACGGCTTTTTTCAAAAATTCCAGCCGGAAAAAGAAAAGTTAGTCTGAGCAAGCGCGAATAATTATTTTTCTACTTGTTTTTTCCTTCTTATTTAAAATTAAAATACAACCAAAAAAATCCTTAGCTCAAGGTCCCAAGGCTTTAAAACGTTTTAAAAAAAGGAAGGGAATCCTTTCATGTTCCACTTTTCATGCAAGTGAGGATTTAAAATAAAACTCCCAAAAGCGACGGCTTTAGATCTCAAGCCACAAGCGAGCAATTCAAGATGGACGAACGGGCGAACTCGTGGACGGCAAAGCCATTTTCCCAGTTTTGGAGGGATGGAACACGACAGTCGAAGGCACGATGACAACCGGTGGAAGAACCATGGTTAGTCCATTCATTTTACTGCATAACCAAAACGGATCGGAGAACACCAGTTTCACAGAACAACGTAAATATTTCAGGATTCCGCTCGACAAAAATGGCAAAAGGGGGGGGCAGGCTTTCAAGGCATGAATGAGTGAGTCAGCAATTCAAATTTAATGGACAAAAAACAAAATCAGACGCTGGCCTGAAGGCCAAAGTGATTTGACAGTTGGAAGAAGTGGGTGGGTTGAGAGTGCCAGGAAGAGGACAGACGTTGAAGAAAAGCAGGCAGTTGGACACTTTTGAGTTCCTCTCCCAAAATCCACAGACCAGATGAAGTCTCTCACAGGACACCTTAACCCCCGACTCCAGTCCGCTCGCTTCAGTTCCCAATGCCCACGCCATCACGCACAGCACTGCAACAGAGGAGGGTCAAGGGGGGAGACATGAGTGACCCCTAACCACCAAGGTTTCCCACGTGTTGCAATTAAACAGGTTGACAGCCAGCTTTTTATTTGGTTCAAAATAAACAACAATGGAATTAAAAACGAATAAAATAACAAAAAAAGGATCACAACAGTTGGGGGGGCATCAATCCAAGTTGGCACTGTTATATTAAGGTCCAAGCTACCACTTACCAGCATTTTTTGGGATGTTGACTGATCGACAAATGTTGCCAGAGTCACACGGAAAACAAAACGAAACAAAAATTACAAAATGACAGGAATCTGTTCACAGCAATTCTTTTCTCCCTTCTTAAAGTCAATCAAACACAAGCCCACGTCATAAATCAGCCACAGAGGAGGAGTATCTGGAGGGGGGGGGGGGGACTTCCTCCTCGGGTTAATGGCGCCCGCTGCTTAAACCCCACACCAAATCTAGTAACTGGTTTACATCAGGCAAACTGTAAATACACTGCAGGAGGAGACACTTTAACTGCTGTGGAAGAAAATGTGGTTAGGATGGAAAGTCAATGGATTTTTATGTCACAGTGGAGTTATTTACTTAAAGACGACGGTAATTCTGCCACATAAGACAGGAAATAGTTCAAACATCTCTAAGAAAAACATAAAATCAGTGGGAGTCGATCAGACGTGATGTGGGAATGAAATCCTAAATTAACAATCAGCTAAATGCTGACGTTACTAAATAAATCTTTGTACCATTTTCCTTCTAGTCAAAACAAAAAAGAACTGTTAGAATTATTTTAATGCTAAAAATACTTCTAAAGGTTTATAACACGGATTCAGTCACTACAAAATACACAGAAATATAAACCTACAGATTTAAACAGCGTCCAAAATTAACACCTGCAAACTGCCGAATTAGAGACGTTCTGATATATTTTATATTTTCCTTCCTGATGTAAACTTTAAGTAAAGTGTGATACATGTGCGTTAAATAAAAGTTAAGTATCCCGACCTTATTTATAGATATAACACATATATATAGTTACTGTATGTTTCTTAAATTGTGGAGACGTGTTTAGATTTCAGAGCTGAGTTTCAGTTGTTATGTCGATCGTCTTGTGTTTTAAATTCAGACCTGGTTGGTTAATATATTGAGTCATATTGTTTCTTCTTCAAGTGTCACATTAATTGGCATTAATCTATTTGTCTGAATCAATCAGCGACTGATCCTCAGTGAGCTGCTGCGTCCACACGTTAAGTGTCTGGGTTTGTTTTGGGGATAATAATTTAGGTGTAATCGGCACAAATACAGCTCGGGTTTCAGTTAATTTTGGACCCCGTATTTAAAGATATATAATATATATAACAGCTCCGCTCCAGTATCTGCTCCAAACGTGTTGAAAAATGATGAACAAAAACTCTAAACAGTAAATAAAGGAACAGTTAATCTGCTAGAACACAGAACAAACTACCTGAATCCACGTGTTTTATTTTAAGGTGGAAAAACAGGAGGAGAGCTGAACCTAGAGGGTTAATGAGGGCGGCGAGTCAGAGACGAGGTGTTATTGATGGATGAGTCGTACGTGTGTAATTAGAGAAACAACGTCTACGTAAGTCTGCTGCAGTGTTGATAAACCCTCTTTATACTGCACACACACAATCAGCTGTAACAGTGTAATGATGTTTCCCTGCTCGCCGTGTGTCAGACACGTGGCGTGATACGGTGTTTAACTGCTGCTCGTTTACCTTGCGGCCGTCGCTGGCGTGGCAGTTGACGTTTAACGGAGTCAGCAGCGCCATCAGCTTTTCTTCATTTCCACTCCTGAAATTACACAGAGGAAGAGACGCCGTTAAGTCTCTCAAAGTCTCTCCACAGGCTGCAAGGGAGGGAGGAAGAGGGCAACACTAATGAAACACAACTACTTTATGGGCTTTGAAGGCGGCGAATGTTCAGATTTAAAGCAACTTTAGGTAACATTGTGCTTTTTGTCGACCTTACAATAATAATAATAATAATTTTGATGCTACACTAAGTTGTAATAAGCTGAATAAGCTTCCCACTCTGCCTCTGAGTGTCTGTTCTTACACTATGCAACTTAGTAGTCACACACCACCAACTATGTCAGTGATTCTGGTGAAACTGGATCATGTTTTATGGAGAAATGTTTTCTGGTTTTCCCTCCGATGTCGTCCGGCTGCTCAGCCTCAACTCTGTGTTTATGTTGGTGTCATGTTAATTTGGAAAAGGAGGAAACTGTTTTAAACTGTGAATAATAACGAGGCTGCATCATTTGTTTTTATTAGTTTTGTGTTACTGGAAGTGACGGATTCTGGAGAACACGTATGATGAGTATATGTTTTAAACAAAAAGCCCAGTTAGCAGCAGTAAAGGACTGAATCACTACATTATGCTATGATGGTATTTTTTAAGATTCAGACATATATGATGTTATTTTTTGCACTCTGGGCCTTTAAATAGGATTATAGCAGCTTATTTTACTGTCAGTTCATAGAATATTAAACATTTTAATGCCATCATGTGTGCAGAATGTAAACCATTTATTGTGAAAGCTGCAATGTAGTAAAAACAGAAAGATATAGATACAAACGTAAACACGGCTTCAGCTGTATAAAAACTACAAACTGACAGAAAATACTAACCTAAAGAGAGATTTCTAAAATGTTCTTTTGCAGAAGTTAGAGAGTTCCAGCAGCTGTTTGAACTATACAGTAATCTATAAATATAAATTCTCTTTGCACTGTAAAACAATCTGCTACCAACCACAGAAGAACGTCACATTTCAACCTGATGAGCAGAAAACTGTGCAGCTGTTTGTATCGACACACTGACTCTCACCTCGCTGCTTCCAGAAGTTCGTCCTTCTTGTATTCACCTGGAGGAAAACAAACAGATCAGAGCTGAGCGTTCCTTTTAACATTTGACAGTTTCTCTCTTTCATAAATCATTTTCCAGAGTTTGTGTCTGACTTTCTGGTTACATTATTCTGTAACATCACAGTTAATGTATTTATCACAGCCACAAGAAACGTGATCATTATCAGGAGAAGTCAGTTCCACTTTAAATAAACTGGATAAACTGTTTAAAAGATGCAGAATAGATACGAACTGGAGTTTACGGAGTGAGGGAAGAAAATAAAACTACTTTACAGGAAACTTTGAGGATATTTGGTCTAAATTTCCAGATTTTTTATGTTTTCCAGGACGAGGGAACCGTGAAGACGCCTGATTCGATGTAACACTAACGTCAGAACATCACTTTGACTTTTAGTTCAAGTTAATGACATTTATCTGAAAACTGAAGCCCAGTGTTTCCCATTGGCTGCCTGCCTGAGGGTCAAAGGGCCGAGTCTACCAAACAGCATTAGAACTGAGTTTTTCAAAGCCCAGGAAAATTAAATGTCCAAATTCAGGGTGCAAAGTTTGCAAATAGGGATGTAGGGAGAGTTATAGAAATGTGTATTTGTTCCACTAGTCTGAAAGAAGACATGTTATGGAAGCAAAATAACCCAAAATGTTTTTGCCTGCCATGTCATGACATTGATGATGCGAATCCAATTTTAGTTTATTACAATTTAGCTTACAGTTTATTTATTATTTATTTGCCTAAAAATAAAACCAGGTCAACACAGGTAACCACTTAATGGTTTGATGGCTCAGATGGGTATGCTCTGGTTGCATTTCTGGTGTTTTCAGCCATTCCTATCATCTATACAACCAATGTGTTTATGATTAAATTGTTTACAAGAGCACACAGTTCTTCATAGATCTAGCCTCTTCATTTTGCTTTCAAAGTGCACCAGATTGATGCATTTAACTTCAAAATGTAAAAAAAAGTCTTGCGGGGGAGCATGTCCCCGAACCCCCTAGAGGGTCCGACATCCACCCACCATAGTCTCACAAAATCCTGTGAAAAATTCAAGTCATCCCCCCAGCTCAAGGTGAGCGTGGCAGTCTGGACATTATGTGCTTGAAATCAACTGAACAGTACAATACCAAAAAAGTGATCTGCTCCCCCCATGCAGCCAACCATATCATATCAGCAAGCGCAGTATTTAAAGCACCAGAGAGCAACCTTTATCAATAAACCTTCCTCAATGTAAAGCATTGAGAAGGTCACGGTCAATTAGATGGATAAAGTAACAGCAATGACATTCCCGTTGTCACAAAAGGAGAGGGTTCCACCCTCTGGGGCCGAGGGAACAGATAGAGCTGAGACCCATACTGCCGCAGCCACATCTGCAGGAAGTCAATGACTGATGCCAGCAGAGACAACAATGTTTTTGCCTTTGTGCAAATTGAAGAAACATAACCATAAATTTGCAAGCGGCGGATCAATACGGCCCAGACGCGGCCAAGTCCTGAGAAACGTATCCAAGGAAAACCATTCGATAACTCCGATCAGAGATGGACCGGTAGCCTGCTATTAATCTTCCATTACCAGCCACAGTGGACAGTGGCCATTGTGAACGAGCTAGAGACGTTTAGTGACAGATTCGGCCATTAAAGCTTCCACTGATGTGTATACCCGGCAATCGGACAGATTTCTCCTCGTATTATTGCTGCAATCATGACCATTCATCAGATGTGGTCCATTAGAGTGGTCACGTTACAAAGGGCGGCACCGCAGCCCTTTCCTTTCACCAACATGACTCTGTATACTATATCACTAGCCACCGGGCAAACATATTCCGTATTTCATCTGGTATTGCTTACATGACAGATCATTGATTGCGTGAGTTGGATTTCCTACATTCCCTGCGTAGAACGATGGAGGGCTCCGTTGCTACAGGCTGCAGTTTTTGAATATATCTGTAATAATGCAGTCATTGTAACCTAAAACAATGCTTAGCTAGGAACAGAAGATGTGTTTCTCTTTTTATTTTAATGACAAGGACAGGCCTGTGACTATGCTTAATAGTAATGTTCCCATTATGCACAGCAGCATCTCTGGAGACTAGCCTTAAATATGGGACTACTCAATCATGACGAGAGGAACCCATGTTGGAATGAAATGGGTCATACGATACTTTAAATAAATATGATAATGAGGCAGACAGTACGGATTGCCGGGGGGGTTATTTGTGGTATGTGGAGAGAACAGTAGGTAGACTGGAACTGAATAACACTGCTAGAGTGGAGAGGTAGTGAGAGTGGAAAGTGGTCTACACCAGCACGTGGGAATAAAGGTGGGCTGTGCATTGAGTGAGCTTGATGCGTTAGCATGCAAATGCTTCAATGTGTTCTTTTGTTAAATATACACTCCCTGATGGGGTTTTTTAATATTATGTGACATTTTTGCATAAGAAATATTATATTATAAATATTTGCTCATTTACTGCAAAACAAATCAGCTTCTGGTGTCCTTTACATGTTCCAGTGCTCTGAGAAGAAAGAATAATAATTCTACAGCTAGCCTATGTACAGGAGTTTTTGCTCAAGTTGCCGCAAAAGATAATGGTTAATGCTAATACGCAGTGTAACAGAAGCATGAGTATGCATGGGTCAGAAAGTCAGCAATATTGACTCTGTCTGTTTCTGTTTGCAAACATTAGCCACCACAAGCTTCTGGTCATCCCAGACCAACAACCGCTGTATCAGCAAAGCCTCAGTGTCTATTGAATTGAACAAGAGTGCATTTTATTGCTCATAAATTCAACTTTTCATCTGTTAGAGGAAAATTGTTGTTTCTGGTTACAAAAAGTTGCATAGTCTAGCTTTAAACAGGAGAAAACATACAAACAAATTAGGCTTACAATCGGATTCAAAACAAGTTTAAATCAGATTTAGAATTCTGATGTGGAAACATTTTGTTTCTTTTTTACCTTTATGTAATATAAATAACAGCTGAGATATAATCGAGGGTAACACATGTCATAGAAGACAACGTGAAACATTTAGATTCATCTTTGAATCCCAGACCTTAGTTTCATACTGTGAAAAAACCAGTGGGAAAAGTGAACTGGAAATCTGCCGAGGGCCCTCGCTGCTAGCTGTAACTAGCTGTAGAAAGGATATCAGAAAACATCGACGCAGTGAGCCCAGGATTACCACTGTGACTCTGAAGGAGGAGGTTTTAAACGAGTGGCTGGTGATGAACGGAAGGCGGATCCTGTAAGTTGGGCTCTTTGTCTCAGCAGGGTTCACAATTATCTCTCACTGGGCGACCTGAGGAGCTCAGTGGGGGTAATGTACTTCTGACAGCCAGATCTATGACACACATAGTGCAATTTGTCCTACAGCACGGGAGATTCAGCGGCCTCAGAGGCATTGTGTAAGGGAGGAAAGGGAGCAATAAGTCAAGTGTTTGCAGTGATGTCACTTTACACCAGGGTTAGACACATGTATTAGTCTACCCTGATATTTGGCTTTTGTTACACATCACATATTGATCGGTGATTTGATCCTCCTGATACATGGAGCTTCCTCCGTGACCAGAGTGCAGCTCAACCGGCCCGAAGAGTCATTTCAATTTCATTTTTCATCGCGTTATATATTTTTAATCGAAATTGTTCAGTAAATGAATGATTCTGTTGGCAACCTCGTTTATCTCATTATCTTATGATGTTCTAGAGGCTGTTTCAGCTTTTCCACCCTGAAAAGAATACAGTTGGACACTGAATGAACTCTTTGGCATAAACATGGTCAAATTCAAAGATGAAAGATTACACAAAAAGATATAACACTGGCAAAATGTTTCAACTGTCTGATGCACACCGAATGATTGAGTTCAGCCTCCAACACCCTTATCCGTTATAGTTTTAGGGTTGTGTATTGGCAAACATCTGGCCATAGGATGCCTATCACTATACCGGGTTATAATTCAGTACATTATATATCTTCCCTTAAACTCTTAAAACGACATCTACTCCTTTAACTGACTTCCAAATGATTTATAGTGTCATACTGTAGGGACAAGAAGAAACACTGGTTTCTAAGTGGAGGGAGACTTTACATTGACACTTATTAGCTTATTAAATTACTGCAAGTCATTTTGAGGCTACTGACAGAATACAAATAACTACAAAAAGCAGGGAGCTGACATCAATACTCCTTTGTTTCTGTCTCAATGTGTCTGAGCAGATGATCCAGTAAATACAGCCACGCTGAAACAGTGACCCAACATAAAGTATGCAGCACGGTCCCCTGTGTTTGTGTTTTGTTTTGTAAATCAATGCACTTTGGCTCATTGATTTTGAATAGGATGCTCCTCGAGCTTGCAGCTGTTTCATTTATGTTACAAGGTTACAGGCTCTTTGCTCATACATGCCACCTGCTCCGGCATTTTCTCCCTCAGTAGTGGACTGCCAGTAATACTGTTAGATTTCAACCCTGCGTCTGTGCCCTCAGTGGCTGGAGTTGACGCAGGACCTCCGAGGCTCACTAGCCCCCGAGAAACGGCTCTGATTCCTGGCCATGAAATGCAATCCACTCCTCTGGGTGTCTCCCTGGATCCTGTGTTCTTATCAGCTCCTCCAGGATGAGAAGCCGTCAATACAACAACCACAGAGAAAGAAAACCATTCCTTCCCCCTACTTCTTGTATCATCGCTGCCCATCTTCACACAGAACCAACCCTGGTCAGACAGCAATTAAAACCCGGGCCCTCCGCTGGAGGAGTGGGCGCGTGCGAACCACAGATCTATAAACTTGATTTTTATCCGTTCACCTCTTGCAGCCTCCCATCGACACGGCAGCTCAGGAGGCGTCGACTGTGTGGACTGCATGCTCGCTGTAATTACCATCATCTTTGCCAGAGATGCATTACATATGACAGAAAAGAATTGAGCGGTGAGACTTGTGATCCCGTCACTAATGAATGAGCCGCCTAATAAATAGCTGCAGCTGCAGTGTTTGGAGTTTGGGCTTTATAAATAACTCTGTGACAGAGCTGCTGTGCACTGCAGAAACTCCACCTTACTATGTCCTAAAATCTTCCTAATATGGGCTCTTATTTTCATGTCAACAAAAATAAACATAAATGACTTCATCCTACTAACAAGTATGATCTGAAATTGTGCCATTAAGCTCCATGGTTGTCCAACACATCAGTGAGCCACACTGTTACACTGGGTGACATGTTCCTTCATTACCATGAACACACACACTGTAGTTGATATGAACTCAATCCACATACGCCATCCTGCTGCTGGAAATACTCACAAGTTCGCCAAATTTGTATTAACCCGCAGCTGAAAACAGTTTTGAAGAAATGCAGTACTTTCTCCTGTTTCTCTAAGACGTACAGCGCCGAGCTTTTTGGGAACTTACTGAGCCATTTCTAAAGATAAAACTATATATGTGTGACTTGTTTTTATGGATTTATGTCTTTAGTAGCAACCAATCAGCTTGGGGCACAGTGCCACAGAAAATGTAGGAAAGTCCAAACTTACTGAGAGACGGACTAAATTGTTAGTCCGATTTTTTTCCCTTCTAATAGGATTTAGTGACAGCAAGGAAAGTATAGCACAATGCCAGTCGTATCATTCAACCCTTCTGCTGTGTTCGGGTAATAGTTCCGTCTCTTGTATCTGTCTAAACATA